TACATTCAAAGCTCTTCCAGACTTAAACTGGCAGGCACAAAATAAGAGGAAGTGGTTTTAAAAAATTGTTTGCTATAACTGTTTTATTTTCCTTCCCATTGCTTTCAGCAGGAAGGAAAATGGCTGTCAGCTCCAGAACTGGCATGATTTCCCCCTCTTGTCAGAGCCTCCTCAATCTGTCAAGCCATGGTTCTTGTCAGTGGCTACTAACAGACGCCCTTCAGTGGAGAAGAAATGGCAGCAGTCCTTTCCGCAGCCTGAAGACTTTCAACAGGGGATCTGGAACATCCTATTACTCCTGGGATGTTCTCCCATAGATCCTAGAAGTGTGCCTTTAGTGTTCTTGTTAAAGCATCGTCCCATTCCCTTTTTAGCATGCAAATTGTGCATTATCTTGATCAGCACTGCCATTCACCCTAGGGGTGAAGAAATCAGTATTCATTTGTGCTCCAATTACAGACCAACACACCGGGCCTTATTTCCTTTTAGAAACACTCCAGTGGAAGCAGCTCTTAAAACATGTCAAGAGCCTTTAATGTGATGGCATAACACTGAAACATGCACAGTAAACTATTAATAAATTTGTACTGAGATCTCCTGGTACTGGAGAGGTAGAGGACATGTAGCCCTCCAGATGTGTTAGACTGAACTCTCATCATCCCTCACCATTTGTTATATTAGCTAGTAATGATGGGAGCTTGCTGTCTAACAACATCAAGAAAGCCAGACATTCACCATCTCTGTGCTGGAGAAAATATGATCTCTACTAACATCTCTTCCTAAGACTATTTGGTGATTCAAGACCCAGCATTAGCTTCTGAAACAGATTCCAAGTGAGGCAGGGTGGGTCCTATATTTAGGTTAAAACTGAGCACTGAAGTAAGATTCTGATGTTAGGCTAGCAATATAAATAACCTACATACGTCAGTATAGTTGATATAAGATGTGCTACTTCTTGTGTGGGTTGGCTAGACTGCATTTCCAACCATATACAGAGTGTTTTTGTTCTGAACACTGGAACAACAATTCGACAGCATAGCTTTTAAACAGATAATAACGTCTGCATGCCTGAATACAACACACACATCTCCAGTACTTCAACAGTTTATACAACTGTTCGGACTCTATATTTTTCTAACCTGGAGAGAATTCCTTTAAGGGGCATCAGTCCTTGCTCTTCCCACCCCTTCAGGCCAAGATAGCTGCGTTTTTCTTTTCTCTCTCTCTCTCATCATGTAAGTGGGCAAAACATTTTCTTGTGCTATTGATTTGGTAAAAAATTTTTGTGCAACTTGTACAAACTGTGCAAAACTACAATAGCTGCTACCTCATTTTAGAAACTAGAAGCATTCTCACTTCTAGTTTCTCCTGTGTACTGTGCCATCAAGTCAGAATAGACATAGTGACCCTAACAGGGTTTTCAAGGTCACTGAGATATTCAAGAAGTGATTTTACTGGTTTCATACCCCCAGTGAGTTTGCATGGCTGAGCGGGAATTTGAACCCTGTTTTCCAAAATCCTAGTCCATTAGTTACTCTATCCACCACACCACACTGGGAATCATTCCGTTCTTTAGGCCTTTTTAGATTACAGCGGGTCTTTTTTGTTCTTGCTCTCTGTATTTGTTTGTACGTGCACACTTTGCTTCTTAAAATAAAAGGACACTAGTCCTGTGCCAACTGCCACAGAGATAAAATCTGGATGGCAAGGGAAGCACTCCTTATTCTGTTCTTGTACAGAAGGTGAGAAATCCGGTGGGCTTAGAAATTTCTCATGCAGGTCTCTCATCATGTCAAAAGACTTAATGAATGTGAACAAGGAATTCAGTAAATATTCTACACATACCATATTTTATATATGTAAACGAATGATGTCTATTATGTCACCTTAAAACAAAGGTCAGAACCAGGGGGGAAAAGCCAACTAATCTAATGTAGGACAAAGCAACCAAACAGCTAATTAATTTAATTATAGCACCATGGCCTGAATCCTATTACCTATGAACTCTGGCATAAGTCAAAGGGTGCAAACTTTAGCAATGAACTGCCTCTAATTAAGAAATCCATGCTTGCATTCCTTGTCATGAGCCAACTCACAAGTCTGGTATGAGATGAGAAGTACAAGGAGCCTTCTTGACTAACAGCAATCTCCTGCTATGAATTATGCAATCTAACGTATGCTGGCAGACACACGCAGAAGGTTCTCCAACTGCCTTACAGAAACTTTGTGAGAGCACAAAACATGACAAAACTTCCAGGAAGGGATCAGATATTGTACCATGCATGGCCAGGGCATTTTTCAATACAAGTGCTGGGCATCAAGTGACCTATGGGCTGCATGCAGCTCCCCTGGTGCATTAAGTGGTCACCAAGGCCATCTCAGGTGCCCCAGGTTTTAAAATGAGAAATGTGCAGTATATATAGCCAAAAGGTCAAGATCCACTCTTGGCAATTTCTGCGTAGAAGCAGCAGTCCAAATGACTGCCATCCACATACTTTGTTACCTTTTTTTAAAAAAATCATGGCTTGAAATGGCCATTTCCAGGGCCAACAGAGTTCAGAAGGACAGCTGCAAGCATAAACGCCTCCCCTAAGCCTCCTGAGATAACTTCTCCTTATTCAGCACAGTAGTACAGTGGTTCCCCGCAAGACGATGATAATGCGT